TTTCTTATAGTACAACTCTCGCAGCCATACATTACTACTGGGAATACCATTGCTTTGATCATACGGACTTCAGTTGGCAAGGTGATATCTCTACTTTTTATTATGCTGTCTAGGTTTGCCATAGTTTTCCTCCCAAGGAGCAGGCATCTTTTAATTTCATGGCTGCAGTCACCGTCTGCAGTGATCTTGGATCCCAGGAACGTGAAGTCTGTCACTGCTTCCATGACTTCTCCTTCGATTTGCCAAGGAGAGATGGGGCCAGATGCCATGATCTTTGTTTTTTTGATGTTGGGTTTCAAACCAACTTTTGTGCTCTGCTCTTTCACCCTCAGCAAGAGGGTCTTGAGGTCCTCTTCACTTTCTGCCATTAGAGTGGTATTATCTGCATATCTGAGGTGCTAATGTTTTCCCCGGCAATCTTAATTCCGCCTTGTGATTCATCCAGGCCGGCATTTCACATGATGTACTCTACATATAAATTAAAAAAGCAGGGTGACAATATACATCCTTGTCGTACTCCTTTTCCTATGCTAAACCAATCAGTTGTTCCATATCCGGTTCTAACTGTCGCTTCTTGACCCTTATACAGGTTTCTCAAGAGACATGTGAGGTGGTCTGGTACTCCCATCTCTTTAAGGACCTGCCATAGTTTGTTGTGATCCACACAGTCAAAGGCTTTAGCATAGTCAATGAAGCAAGTAGATGTTTTTCTGGTACTCCCTTGCTTTCTCCATAATCCAGCGAATGTTGGCAAGAAGACAATTATGATTTAACCAGGTAGAATCACTCCAGAGAGGAGAAGGGAGCAAGCACAAAGTGTAGTGTAATGGCAGACTATGAGGCCAAGGTTCAAGTCTCCACTCTGTCATGAAGTTTACCTTTGGGGTCTGTTATGTATTTGCTTATGTGTTATGCCATGCAGGGCTCTTTTTGTAGCAGGAACTCCTTTGCATATTAGGCAACACAGCCCTAATGTAGCCAATCCTCCAAGAGCTTACAGTAGTCCCTGTAAGAAGAGCTCTATAAGCTCTTGGAGGACTGGCTACATTAGGGGTGTGTCGCCTAATATGCAAAGGAGTTCCTGCTGCAAAAAGAGCCCTGATTCTATGTAACCTAAACTGGAGCTTCAGGCACAGGCTCTGCCATGATGCGGGGCTGGGCAGGGGTGAGGTAGTCAGGATACAGTCTGAAGTCAAGAGCCAGTCAAGCAAATCAGCCAGAAAACCAAGTCCAATACACAAAGCAAGAGCGGGGTGGTCAAGGTACAGTCCACAGTCAAGAGCCAGGCAAGCAAACCAACCGGGAAACCAAGTTCCAAGCACAAACTGTTAGAGTTGTCAGGAAGCCAGAGTCCAAAAGAGTCAAGAGCCAGGGAGTCAAAGGTTCGGGGTGCAGAGTCTTAAGTGTAGTCGTTCAAGCCGAGGTCAAAGAGCCGAGGAAATCCAGACAGGAACCAGGAGTTAGGAACATGAGCGAGGAGGTGCAGAGCTTCGTCCGAAGAGACTAGTTGCTGGCACGATTTGTTGGCGTGAGGGCTTGGGTTAAATAGCCCATAAGCCTGCTGGCAATTAGCGCGCCCCAAGTGAGTCCCAGCTCCTGCTCATACTCGGGGCTGAATGAGCGCCTGCCACGCATGCGTGCCTTTCGCCGCCGGGCTGCCATATCCCATCGGCACTGTTCTCTCAAACAGGATACCAGTGGAGGCGAATCAGGAGGAGAACTGTCCGGGCGTGCTTCTGCCTCAGCTGTTGCTGGGGTAGCCTCTGGAAGCTCAGCCCTGTCAGGTACGGGAGTTTTCATCGAGAGCTCATTCCCAGCAGCACTTAGATCCTCTGCTGGGGCCTCTTGCTCGCACTCAGCAGGGGCTGCTTGCTCGCACTCAGCAGGAGCCATGACAGGCTCCATTGACTCCCAGGTATTCTAAACCCTGCAGTCGGATTGGTTGCTCTTGCGTAACAGACCAATCCAGAAAGACTCTGAACTTCAGCAGGAACAGCAGGAACAAATCCCATTGGTTCTAAGCTCTCAATGCTAATTGGTCATTACTGTGCTAGGGGGTGTGGCTTTCCCTGGTTCAAAATGTATAAAGTTGCCTCCTCCTTGAGTATGTGTTGCTGTGTCGCTGTGTTCTGAGCTGAATAAAGAAATCACTGTTTTAAGAAACGCTGCCTCAGTCCCAGTATATAACAGGGTCTGAACCAGCTGTGGCCAATCAGCTCCTTGAAGGAAGTGTGGGATAAAGATTCAATAAATTGATGTACATTTTGAGTTTTCAAGTTACAGTTTGCAAGAGCTGCTTTATTATGCCAGACCTAGGCTGGTTTGGAAGCAGCCCCGTAGCTAGGGAATTCTTTGGGAGGGGGCCTTGGGGGGGCCCGCCAGCTAATTAAATGGAAGTACAGTGCAGGTGGTAAGTTGGAGCACTTTGGGGGCAGCCCTGGAGGGAGGGGGCCCAGAAGGAACACAAGGGGACTGGGCCCCGTGGGCCCCATGTTAGCTACGGGCCTGTTTGGAAGAGATCCATGAAAAGCTCTTTCACACCAGTGAGCCTCTGGCCATTTGGTACTGTTTTAAATGAAATGCATCTGTAAGTGTTGAGTTTCAAGCTTGTGGAAGCTGTTAGGCAGATGGACAGTGAGAATAGATCCTTTTCTATTGTTTTGTCTCTGTCAGTCTGATTGCTTGATACCGTGTGATGCCTGTGTTCATGATTTTTGAGATTTTCACCCCGTACTTTTTAAAAAGTTCAGGCATTCAATTCCATTCCGCCCCCCCAATCTTGTTAACATAAGAATACCTGGCACCTGCACAGCAGGGTGTTTTTATGTTAATCTTAGTTTTTACAATAATTGTATTTATTAGAACTTGGGGCACTGATGGTGCCCCCGCCATCGTTATGCTGTACCTCGGGGTGATGTTACCAGGTTACAACCCAGATAATTCTGCTGTACCACTTATTTCTGTAACGGAGCCGGTGATAAAGTTAACATAGCATCTCCTGTCCCTTCTGGCTCTGCTTCTTATCCTCTACTGCTTGCCTTGCAGCAAAGAATCTTCTGTGTGAGGGGAAAAAACATATCTATGGCCGTGGCCACACGTGCTAGAAAACGCGGGGGGGGGGGGGGCGTGGCTATTTGTGCCGTTGCAATCTGATCTGACATTAGATGATCAGATGCGACGGCGACACACCGGGGCTTCCTCTGTCGGCGCGCACAGCAAAGAGGACGACCCGGGGGAATAGCCGTGCACCAGCGCGATCACACTGCGGGAGTCCGTATGCAGCCCGTGGCAAACCATTTGCCAGTAGGTTGTTTCAGGTACCTTTTAAATGCACATCTTCGGCGGCATGCCACGGGTTGGCCACGGGTGTGCTACGTCTCCCAGATGTTCTGGTGTGATCATGCCCGGAAAATCCACCCGACTATCGTGCCTTCCGCGGGGCAAATGCTCCATGCGAACAGGGCCTATGTTAGTTTTTTATTTGGTGTGGACATTAATTTTGTTAAAAAGGTAAAGGTTCCCTTGCTTGAAAGCCAGTCAAATCCGACTCTAGGGTTGCGGTGCTCATCTCCGTTTCAAAGCCGAAGAGCCAGCGCTGTCCGAAGACGTTTCCGTGGTCATGTGGCCGGCATGACTAAACACCAAGGCGCACGGAACGCTGTTACCTTCCCACTGAAGTGGTACCTATTTATCTACTTGCAATTTCTTGCTTTCGAACTGCTAGGTTGGCAGGAGCTGGAACTAGAGATGGGAGCTCACTCCATCATGCGGCACCCGGGTCTTGAACTGCTGAACTACTGACCTTCCACAGCCTGCACTTCAGCGTCTTAACCACTTGAGCCACCGCTCCTCCTTAATTTTGTTACCAGATGCCTATTACCAAGGACTCGTTTTTTTTTTTTTGTAATGAAAGCTGCAAGTTTGTGTTGAAGTCTAAGTTCATTCAGATGTCCTTTTTTATAGACTGAGTTCAAGTTCTGCAATGGGTCTGATAAAGAGTGCATATCGCCTACTGGAAAAGACAACAAGAAAGAGACTTTGAAGGTATGTGCAGTTTGCTATATGGCAGAGAACATTTGTTTCTCTTAAAAAATGCCAGTTCTCTGAGGGTCCCTGAATGATTTGGAATGATATCCCCCAGGACCTTAATGATTCTGGGTCCCCGGGCAAAACTCAAGACTGGGGGGCCTTGGGGTTCCATGGGAGGTCATTTTGGCCAGGATCCCCCCTTAACTTAAAACTGATTCTGATCACTAGCATTGTTTGAATTTTAGTAACACTACATTTTAGTTGTCAGTAGTCTTTTTTTTTTTGGTAATTGTCAGTCGTCTTTCCCCCCTGTGTTGTGCTGGAGCTGCCATTCTTCAAGCATGACCACATTTAAGAAACTGGGCATTTGCTTTCCAATGAAATCCTTGGAATTGTGCTGTGGCCCATATGAGGGTTAAAAGGTAAAGGTTTCCCTTGTTCGAAAGCCAGTCGAGTCCGACTCTAGGGTTGCGGTGCTCATCTCCGTTTCCAAGCCGAAGAGCCAGCGCTGTCCAAAGACGTTTCCACGGTCATGTGGCTGGCATGACTAAACACCGAGGTGCCCGGAACGCTGTTGCCTTCCCACCGAAGCAGTCCCTATTTATCTACTTGCAATTTCTTGCTTTTGAACTGCTAGGTTGGCAGGAACTGGGACTAGAGATGGGGGCTCACTCCGTCATGCAGCACTCGGGTCTCGAACTGCTGAACTACCGACCTTCCAGCCTGCAGTTCAGTGTCTTAACCACTTGAGCCACCGCAGCTCCTATATGAGTGCTACTTAGTTAAATACGAGTGTTACTTAGTTAAAAACAATGACGGTACATGTGGAGATGCATTGTTGATCTTAAGTCCTAATGGCACAAAACTCATGTGTAAATGAGGTAGGCTTTCAACAGAGCTTGCAGCCAAAGAGCATGTGCTGCATTTTTGTGTTGGATGATGGGAGCACACGGAGAAGGAATTATTCTCTTTTTCTTGGGTTCCTTTTCCTATAAAATTATTATAAAACATCCCCCCTCAAAAAAAAAATCCAGAGGGGACATACCAGTGCCTCTAAATAAAATAAAGAAAGTATGGTAGCCACAAATCTTTCAGTTTTAATTAATACGATAAAAATTGAAAATATACTGAATGAGCTCAGTGCTTTCATGAGTAAGAATAGTGAATGCAGTAGCTTTAAAATGAATCACAGATCCTGCACGACAGTGTAAGAATCCATTGGCAGCAACAGCATGCAGTAAATATTGAGCAGATGTACTTGGGCGAAGGCCTCTTGGAGCACATTGCTCCACAGTGGTAAGCTAGCTGCACCAAACAATGCATACTCAAAAGGAAGGCCGATCTTTCATGGCAATTGCTAAGCAATCCAATGAGAGTTGGGGAGGGTCATGATTTGAACATGGGGTGGCACGCATATACATGGTACGGCAAGGACAAAATCCATACAAATTTCAGGAGACACTGGTTAAGAGACGCATTAAATAAAGTTTGGAATAAGATTAAAGAAAAATTTTATAGGAAAATACCTAGGTGGGTTTCGCCTTTGGAAGCCTACATTAAGTCAGAATTAATGACAGCTAATAAGAAATTAACATATCAGATGTTGTTAAACAGGGAAAACAAATTAATAATAGAAGAAAAGTTGCTAAGAGATAATATATTCTTCTTCTTTTTTTTTATAGAACTCTCCTAAAAAGGAGAGACTTTTATTGCTTTAAATTTACAGAAAAAGGAAGGGTATATAGAGGGATTAAGAAAAGGTTGAGTGATGGGTATATTAATATGTTAGTCTTTTAACTGTAAACATAGTCCATATCTTCACTGTGTGCCCTCGATCTTCTTGCTTCTTTACCTGTCAAAGATAAAAATTAGTTAATTTAGTAAAGTCCTTTTAGGTTAATACTTACATGTCCTTGCAGCACAGTCAAAAGTTCTTCAGATGTTGGGGCATTTGCCTTTCTTCTCTCTTAGGTTATAGGAGACACCTCCCACCGCTCCTTTCTCCTCCAGTTCTTCGTCTCCTCCCTCTTGGTGGGAAGTTTAAATGGTTTTTCACGATAATGACATTGTGTACCTGCCAGCTAAGGCTGCCATGGTGTGGAATGTGTGGGTTGCGCTCTATGTTTCCCTCATCCCATCCCCCTTTCCTTTCGCCTGCGCGCTGTTATCTGTCTAATGTCCTTGAAGGCTTTACTCGGCCAACTCCTAGCTTCCCGCTGGGAATATAACCGTTGCTTTTTACCCGCGTCTTCAGGTGCTCGCCTATTGGCTTTATTGTATCAGGGAGTCCTGTATGAAGGGGGTATATCTGTAGATTCAACTCATTTGCCCGCCATTCCTGACACAAGAGTTCATGGTGTCCTAAGTTCTAGTCCTCAATAAACTGAAACTTCTGAAGGAGCGTTGTTGAGTGTCTTGACTGGGAAGCCTGACAGTACCAATCAGTGCTCCCATATCATGTAAGAAGAGGCTTAAATTCATGTACAACTGTCCTCCAGAGTTGCTAGTCCAACTTGTCATTTAGTCACATGACCTCAAATGCTCCCAACTTTTAGATACTGTCAAATGAAGTGAAAACTGTGAACATGTGGTGGTGCCTTATCCTGAGTCAGACCACTGGTCCATCTTGTTCATATTTCCTTCTCTAACTGGAAGTACCTCCCCAAGGGAGAGGAAAGTATCTTAAAGTGCTTTCTGCTATTGGAGAGCTTTTAAAATGGTAATTTTAAAAGACTGGCCATAACGAGGGCCAGGGCCTTCTCAGTGGCGGCTCCACACTGGTGGAATGAGCTCCCAGAGGACATCAGGGCCCTGCGGGACATTTTGCAGTTCCGCAGGGCCTGTAAAACGGAGCTCTTCCACCAGGCCTTCGATTAGGAGCCGCCACTGATGAATGTACCATCGTAAGTCTAACATGCCACAGCCCTGTTATAACGTTGGAAGGTCTTTTTCTTACTGGATCATGTATAGGAAACCGCCGCCATCTGTTTGCACTGCTTGTACTAGCACTTTATGCAATGGTTTTATTATGAATTTTATGGTATTTATTGATCTTGTTGTATTTTAAATTTCATAAGCTGCCTTGAGCCAGTTTGTACCGGCAAGGCGGGGTATAAATTGGAAGTAAGACTTTGGTATGTCTGACCCTGCTTTTGGACTGTGATTTAAACCTGCTTGAACCTTGCTACCTGGTTTGCCCGGCTTGACCTCGGACTGTTCCTGGACTTTTGCTTGCTTGTGTCACGCCCCCTGGTCCTGCCGTGACATTACGTAGGATCATCCAGTCACAGATTTTTTTTTACTTGCTCCACAGACTGGTTTTTGAACCCCCTCCCTAACCTCAATTTCAGGACCACTGATACCAGTGCAAGGGGAGAGGCTCTCATTTCTTAAGAATCTCTGGAATGCACAGAGCTTGCTGGGTTATGGCCAGTCCTATCACAGCAGCCTTATCTCTACCCACAAAGTTAACATTAAAAAGAATGATGTTAAATGAGGAAACACATTGTTTCCTTTGGGAAGGGGCCATGGCTCAGTGGTAGAGCATCTGCTTGGCATACAGAAGATCCCAGGTTCCAATCCCTGGCATCTTCAGTAAGGGTCAGGTGGCAGGTGATGTGAAAGACCTCTACCTGGAGACCTTGGAGAGCCGTTGCCAGTTCTGAATAGACAATACTGACTTTGAGGGACTAGTGGTCTGATTCAGTATAAGGCGCCTTCCTGTGTGTTTGTGTGTGCTAAATTTGGTCTGATTTGGTGATCAGTAAGCTGCTGATGCTGGAGATGAGAGGACATAATAAACGTGGCCATGTGATAAGTTTCAGAATTCTAGTACAACCTTTTCATTAAACAGAATTCAAATTGCACTTCTCCAAAAAAAAAAAATTAAGTAGCTGAGGAACTACACCAGGTAAATAGCTGAAAGTAACAATCAATATATCTAATTCTCAATCTGGCCAAATCTGAGGATACATAAATCCAGATATTGGACCTGTGAATGGACAAGACAGATCTTTTTACAAACCTGAAAATGTTCCAGGTTTGCAGAAAAACCGGAAATCTTAAAAAAGAAAAATCTATTGGGAGATTAAACATCTTGAAATTATAAAAGGTTGCCTGTAGCTTTAAGAAACGATTGCCCTCTGGCTGTTGCTAGGCAACCTAGGGTTGCCAGCCTCCAGGTGGAGCCTGGGGATCTCCCGCTTTTACAACAGATCTCCAGCTGACAGAGATCAGCTCCCCTGGAGAAAATGGCTGCTTTGAAGGGTGGACTCTATGGTATTATGCACTGCTGAGGCTTCTCCCTTCCCCAAACCCCGCCCTCTCCTGGCTCCACCCCCAAAGTCTCCAGGTATTTTCCAACCCAGACCTGGCAACACTAGCGGCACCACATAACTGAGCTATTGTTTTCCTGGGTAGAGGTCGCTAAGATAAGCATATGGAGCAGAGGTCCATCAGTGGCTATTAGCCACAAGGTATAGATAGGGACTCTGGGGCAAGTGATGCTCTGTCATCTTGGTGCTCGGGGGGGTCAACAGTGGGAGGGCTTCTAATGTCCTGGCCCCACTGGTGGACCTCCTGATGGCACTGGTATTTCTGGCCACTGTGGGATACAGAGTGTTGGACTGGATGGGCCTTTGGCCTGATCCAACATTGGC